CACAGGATAAATGTTTGATATCATTATTTAATCACATTGGAATCGAAACTGGGAATCGAAAAGAATCGGAATCTATAAGCAGAATTGGAATCAGAATTGATCAAATTCAAACGATACCCAACCCTAGTGTTTACACAACATAATTTTCAACTAAAAACTTTATGCATTTTGGCCGTGTATTTTTATAGCAACATCGTTTTGCGGGTCTCAAAGCCCAAAACTAAAAATGGTTTCAAAGTGGAAATTTTTGAAACTGATACCTTCTGTGTAAACCATAGAAACGTGATTTTATGAACAGACGATGGCGTCACGTGCATGTGTATTACATGTGTGACCCCCCACATTGAATTTGGGACACAATAATTTTGTGTTATTTGTATATACTGTATATTAGTTGCTGATTGCACGTGTTTAGTATTTACATGTATTTTATAAGATTTTTTACTACATTAAAGACTGGCTCACACTACAGGATTTTTAGCCCGATTTAGCCCCGATTTTCCCCTCCCAAGAATCGGAGCAAAAATCTTGTCGAGCACCTCGATTGGTCCCGATGTTCGGCGCAGATTATCTGGTAATGTGAGGCATTCACCGATCGAATCTTGCACCTCCCGATCTGCTCGCACACAAATAGGGACAGCACCGATCATATCAAACATGTTTGATATTTAGGATTTAAATCGGGATGATGACGGCTATGATTACTTCAGTACTCTCACAATAGCCAATGCGCGACTGCAAAACAGCTGCTGTACACTGTTGCCAACTCTCGCGAGACAAATAAGCAACCGAAGCTTCAAAAACAAGCCCAAAACAAGCCCAATATTTTTTGATGATTTATTATCATCAATATTATTTATTATCAATTATTTATTACCAATAAATGAGCCTGCAACATATTCAACTGAAACTACTCTTTTATCTAAAAGTAAAAACAGAAGTTATTTTTACAAAAATCAAAGTGGGAACAATGCTCATCTCCAATCACCTGTGATCAGAATAGGATTAGAGAGATGGAAAAGGAGAAGAACACAAGAGCTTCAGAGGGGAGCTGTAACATAGTCACATATTTATAGCCTAATAAAATATATTCAAACCAAATGTATATATTACTATAAGCCTACGTGTTTTTTTTCAACCCGTGATAATACATTACAAAAACATTGTAAAAATTA